GTTCAACTCTCCACGTAGGTATTCAATGCTACTTTATTGATTATATAAAATTATATAAGTATTTTAGGTCTCTCATCTAAGCGCGTTATTATGTTTTAATATTTATTATATCTATTTAAGAAGTCAGTTGTGGATATCATCGTGGTAGGTATATAAATAAATACAGCTCATTTCCTTATTGACCTCAAGAATACTAAACCAAAAACATAAACCTTTCTGGCGCAGTTGGGTAAAAGGGACCTAAACGAAGTCTTAAAAGTCTTGCAAAGTATTTATTGAATTCCAAGGAGACTTTAAAGTCTTGTAAAGTATATCGAATTCCTGAACTCGGCATCAGAGGACTAACGAAGTAACGATCCTTAGGCGAATGACGTCAAAACAATACGCAATGGATTCCACCAATCAGCCAACTTCGGAACTGGAGTCGGACAGAGGGTTTTGATAATGATCAATTAACCACAAACAAATAAAAGTCAGTAGACTTAAGTCTTAATTACAAAATGCTCAATCGATTAAATCTCAAGCCTTCGATTAATAACGTATAGATGGACAATTGGACAGTCTTCTCATACGAGAGCTTTCGTCTAAAGTGACAGAAAAATTTCATCCTTCACAGTTTTTAATAGAAAGACTTTATTGACACAGTAAGTAGGTACAATAACAACACGACAAGAATAAAAACAATTTCTGAGCCACTGCGCCAATAGGCTTCCACTCAACATTTATTATTTTATCTTGATAGGCTCGTAAGGGGATGTCAAGAAGCTGGTTTTCCGCGAACGTTTGCCTTCGTCAACTGTCAGAGGGCGTAGCGTGAGTTTACATCACAGCGCCCCTAGCGGAAACGTTCAAGAACAGAATTTTCATACATTTTTTTAACGCGCTCACTAGTGAGGACGTTTAATGTAAACTCACACTCAGCCCACAGAATGTATGGAAAAAGTAAGTCACTGCCCTATTTGAAGTGCCTCACTTATATTGAGCTTACTTGTTGAGTTTCTAGGCGTTATAATGTCTTAGTCGTTGATTATTATGTCCTATGATTGAAATAAATATTGAAATTCAACCCAAATGGACAGACTGAAAGACGTTGCCTCTCACTCGGTGGACCGACAATCTGATGAAGGTCCCGGGAAGCGACTTGATGGACTGGTTGTTGTGGAAATCCCTAGGTAAGTCCTTTGTCCAGCAGTGGACGTCTTTTGGTTAAAATGAAGATAAATCACTGTCATTATTGTCGTTGCGACACATATTGAGACAGATACAAGCGGACCTACTGTTATTTTACCTACTTTGTGACTTTGCCTTCCAATTTCATTCTAAAACAGAAGTAAGAAACTCAGGTAGAAGTTGTGGGAACTTAAGACTCCAGGAAAATGTTGTGGTAACTCCATTATTGAATTCAAAGAAGGATTACCTATTTGCATACCAATAAACCTCAACATTCCAACATTGTATCTGTTCTTAGACTATTTTAATTAAAGCTTTTAATTATAAAATCGCCACTGTATAGTATGTTACTAATTAAAGGGCAATAATAACAGAAAAACGTCTTACTATCGTGAGGTATATTTCAGATTTAATTAATAAATTATACTTCAATAGAACGATTATAATATTATTATGATTTTGAAATTATTAATTAGTGCTTAAATAAAGAAGCAAGTAAGCATTGGAGAAAGGAGAATCCTTCCAACTCTTCTTTTATTTTAAAAATAACACAAAAGCAACTAAATTTATTATTTCAAAGTCAATTTGTCACTTAAATATCTCAAAGGAAAAATCATAAAGGCTTTTTTTGTTTCAATGAAAAAATTAAAACCCTGTAAAAACTGAAAATTCTTAGAGACAGAGGGAATCCTTTTCAACGCCCTTCGACGTTAAGCTCAAAATCCTTTTTTTCAATAGAAATTTTCGGCAAGAGCCCTAGACTAAGGCTGGGTTACACCATCTTACTTAACTAACGTCAACACTCTGTCAAACTTTATACAAAAAGCACTGGTTATCGTTAAAGTTACGGTCAAAGTTAGGTGATGCAGCAATTTAGGCTTAGTAAAATTTGTGATCCACTTTTGGGCAGTAACTCATTTTAGTAATTCATTTGTAGATTGCTTGATTTGCATCATACGTCATTATAATAACTAATAAATTAATTGTTTATCTCTGAAGACTGCATCTGTGAAAAGTCCTGTATTTTTATTGCATCGATCGTTACCGTTAATTACAGGGATGAAATCTCTCTAACAAACATAATAACAATAAGTCAAATTAAAGGAAAACCATGTAATCTTAAATTATTTTACAGAAAATTTTATGGTGAATTTTAAAAAATTTCGTAATATTGAATGCAGTTCTCTTTCTTTTCAAAAATTAAGGAATGTTTTCTTTGAGTAAAATCTATTTATCCACAGTTAAAGAGTATATTTACCCTCCAGATGGCATTACAAAANGTAACGATCCTCAGGCGAATGACGTCACAACAATACGCAATGGATTCCACCAATCAGCCAACTTCGGAACTGGAGTCGGTCAGAGGGTTTTGATAATGATCAATTAACCACAAGCAAAGAAAATTCAGTAGACTTAAGTCTTAATTACAAAATGCTCAATCGATTAAATCTCAATCCTTCGATTAATAACGTATAGATGGACAGTCTTCTCATACGAGAGCTTTCGTCTAAAGTGACGGAAAAATTTCATTCATCACAGTTTTTAATAGAAAGACTTTATTGACACAGTAAGTAGGTACAATAACAACACGACAAGAATAAAAACAATTTCTGAGCCACTGCGCCAATTGGCTCACGCTCAGCATTTATTTTATATTAGAATCAGAATGTATGGAAAAACTTAAGTCACTCCCCCATTTTGAAGTGCCTTACATAATGAGTTTCTAGAGGTTATAGTGTCTTAGTCATGATATTATCTGTCCTACGATTGAAATAAATATTGATATTCAACCCAATGGACAGACTGAAAGATGTAGCCTCTCACTCGATGGACCGACAATCTAGTGAAGGTCATAAAAAGCGTTTTGAAATTTATTTAATTTTATATTATTTTTCTTTATTCAGAACACAGCTCTTTATAATGGACTTTCTTTCTTTATGGTGGACTGGTGGTTGTGGAAATCCCATAGAAAGTCCTTTGTACAGCAGTGGACGTCTTTTGGTTGAAATGAAGATAAATCACTGTCATTATTGTCGTTGCGACACATTTTGAGACAGATACAAGCGGACCTACTATTATTATACCTACTTTGTGACTGTGCCTTCCAATTTCATTCTAAAACAGAAGTAAGAAACTCAGGTAGAAGTTGCGAGAACTTAAGACTCCAGGAAAATGTTTGTGGTAACTCCATTATTGAATTCAAAGAAGGATTACCTATTTGCATACCAATAAACCTCGACATTCCAAAATTGTATCTGTTCTTAGACTATTTTAATTAAAGCTTTTAATTATAAAATCGCCACTGTAAAATATGTTATTAATAATAGGGCAATAATAACAGAAAAACGACTTACTATCGTGAGGTACATTTCAGAATTAATTAATAAATTATACTTCCTTAATTTTTAAGCAAACTTAGGACTACTTCACAATAGAACGATTATAATATTATTATGATTTTGAAATTATTAAATTAGTGGTTAAAATAAAGAAGCAAGTATCTATTGGAGAAAGGAGAATCCTTCCAACTCTTCTTTCATTTTAAAAATAACACAAAAGCAACTAAATTTACTATTTCAAATTCAATTTGTTACCTAAAATCTAATACCCAAAGGAAAAATCACAAAGGCTTTTTCAGTCTCAATGAAAAAATTAAAAACCCTATGAAAAATTTAAAATTCTTAAAGACATTCAAAGGGAATCCTTTTCAGCGCCTTTCAACGTTAAGCTCAAAATCCTTATAATAATTTTCGGCAAGAGCACTACAAATTTTTGATCTATTTTTGGTTACCTAGTAAAGGTTTAGCCAAACCAACGCGTGCAGCCCGCATGCGCAGTGGCAACGGCGATCAGTATCTTTGCCACCTGAAGGCAAAGTGCTCGTAATACTCTAGATAGAAAATTTTACTCGAACATTTTTGAAAATAAATAAAACTGCATTCAAAGATCTACAGTATTAAAAGTAGATATACTTTCCCCCCAGATGGCATTACGAAATTCCACCCTGTATATTCAGAACCTTTGTTGAATGTTTTCAGGATGTGTGTAAAAAGGTCCACTTGTGTTTGTTATTTATCACACCACAATAGCCGTAACGCCAACTCATTTGCAGGTAAACAATAAGACCCTAAATTATTTAGGCACATTATTAAGTCCGTTGGAACCCTTTTGGGTTGTGGGCATGCATTTAGGTCTGGTTCGTTCAGGGAAATCACAAAAGAAAACGTATACAGTGTGTTTGGGATAGGGCTTAAGATTTGATTTTATTATGTCAATTCTTCTTCTTTTTTTCGTGTCGACAACAATGCCCCCATATGTAGGCCCACCTCCCCCCTCTTATGTGATGTGACTCTATATAAAATTCTTCATTCTGTGAATCTACATCGACATAAAGTTGTTATATTCTACAGTATTGTACAATTAAGGTTCTTTTCAACTTAATACTTTTGTTTAGTCTAAACAATTAATATCACAGATAAGAAGCCTAAAATTACATAAATGACTAGTTTTATTTCTAAGTAGTGCCAGAACAAGTTGGCATATTTTCCAGTCATATGCATATTTCAGAATGAAATATTCGAGACTGAACAATTCAATTGCATGATTGATAAGACCATCACAATAAGGGTCTGATTTCACGATAAATGTAGGTATGCTCATTCTAAATTCAGATCAAATTTATCCCGCTTATATTAATAACATTGTCTTTCTCAGTTTTTCTTCTGAAATGATGTCCATGTCAATTTCGAGTGCAATATTATGATACTCATATTGTTCTACGTTAAACCATTGATCTCCCAACACCCCAGGGATGCCGATCAAAGGTATACCATCTGTTATGGTTTCGTCAGTTGATTGTAGACCTCCTTGTGTGATGAACAGTTTTATTTTTGGATGACCTGGAAGAAAACGCAGTTGAATTAACTGATAATATTATTACAGTTTTCTGGGCTTTTTAGTTAACTTAAAAATATGATACGTGCGTAAGCCCTAACAATAGACAGAAGTAGGCTTCGAGTATCAGCAAATCGAATTTCTGCGACATTATCAGTCAGAAGTTTTTGAATTCGTCGAGTTGCAGCTGTTTAACTTAATGTTAACTTGACTTTTATCTTTCATAACAGTTTCGATACCGTTCCTCTGTTTTTCTTCTGAAATGATGTCCATGTCAATTTTGATGCCAATATTATGATACTCATATTGTTCTACGTTAAACCATTGATCTCCCAACATGGGGATGCCGATCAAAGGTACACCAGCTGTTATCTATTATATAAAAGAAAGTCGTGTTAGTTACTCCACTTATAACTCAAGAACGGCTGAACCGATTTAGCTGAAAATTGTTAGGGAGGTAGTTTAGAGCCAGGAGAAGGACATAGGATACTTTTTATCCCGTTATTTATTGCCATTAAGGCGGAACAAAGTTCGCCGGGTCAGCTAGTTAATAATATTAGTTCCTCAGTCTTTCTTCTGAAATGGTGTCCATGTCAATTTTGATGCCAATATTATGATACTCATATTGTTCTACGTTAAACCATTAATCTCCCAACACCCCAGGGATGCCGATCAAAGGTACACCAGCTGTTATATTAATAATATTAGTTTCTTAGTTTTTCTTCTGAAATGATGTCCATGTCAATTTTGATGCCAATATTATGATACTCATATTGTTCTACGTTAAACCATTGATCCCCCAACATGGGGATGCCGATCAAAGGTACACCAGCTGTTATATTAATAATATTAGTTTCTCAGTTTTTCTTCTGAAATGATGTCCATGTCAATTTTGATGCCAATATTATGATACTCATATTGTTCTACGTTAAACCATTGAGCTCCCAACATGGGGATGCCGATCAAAGGTACACCAGCTGTTATATTAATAATATTAATTCCTCAGTTTTTCTTCTGAAATGATGTCCATGTCAATTTTCAACCGACTTCAAAAAAGGAGGCGGTTCTCAATTCGACCCGTATGTTTTTTTTTTCTATGTTTGTTACGCGATAACTCCGCCAATTATGAACCGATTTGAACAAATCTTTTTTCGGCGTATAGGTAATACCTCAAGGGTGGTCCCATTTAAATTTATTTATAGAAAAAACAACCCCCAAGGGTGGAAAATTGGGGATGAACTTTTTTTATACGAAATATCTCCGCCGTTCGTTCGTTTCAGCCAAATGACGTTCACTGCTAGACAAAGGCCTCCCCCAAGGTTTTCCACAATGAACGGTCCTGCGCCGCCGATTATAAATCAATTTGAACGATTATTTTTTTGTTGAATAGGTATTATCAAAAGGGTGGTTTCATGCGAATTTGAAGAAAATATTTCACCCCCAAGGATGGAAAATTGGGGATGAACTTTTTTATACGCAATATTTTTAATTTTTAGTTTTTTTTTGTGTTCACGCATTTGTAGTCGGTTTTATTTTTTTTAAAGTTAATTATGATGCCAATATTATGATACTCATATTGTTCTACGTTAAACCATTGATCTCCCGACATGGGGATGCCGATCAAAGGTATACCATCTGTTATGGCTACGTCAGCTGATTGTAGACCTCCTTGTGTGATGAACATTTTAACTTTTGTATGACCTGGAAGAAAACGCGGTTGAATTAACTGATGATATTAATACATTTTTCTGGGTTTTATAGTTAACTTATAATAATATGAGTAAGGTTACCTAAGGAGTGTAAACCTGAATATTCAATTTTGATATTTCAAGTGTCATTCTGATTCAGACAATGTCAGACGCTTTTGATTCTAAAATCTGATATAAAATCTATAATTTATGTTACAATGCACAAAAACATATTATACAATAAACAGTGCAAATGCCAACTAATCCTAATGTATTACAATTGAAAGTATTTATAATATACTCGTACCTATTACTAATATTATGGCAAATAGAATGAATCTTATTATTAATACGGACGTAAAAGGTCCGACTGTGGAAACCATTTTGAAATTCTTATCTTGGAAATTGTTCCCGGCAACTCATCTTGATTCCACTTCCATATCACATTGTGAGGTAACTTAGAAACTGCATCAATCATTGATTGAATTTTTTTGGAGGTAACGAAGCTGGTTCTACGTTGGTTCCAAAGCTGATGTATATGACACCATTTTCAGATGCGTCTAAATATTTTTTGAGATCCTGAAAATATTATTTAAACAGTTTTGTATTGTTTAATTCTGATAATTAAATTTTGATGACCTCATTCTTATTTTTAGACTAAGTGAAACTTACTTACCTGAGGTAATTCCTTTTCTATTATGCGATTCCTTTCCCATGTCGGATGGATATTTAATAGCAATAAATCAACAATGTTTTTAGATCTTCAATCGATGGGACACTCTCACCAAACACTCTTTTAAGCATTAATTTATTGGTTAGGTAAAAGGTCCGACTGTGGAAACCATTTTAAAATTCTTATAGGNTAACATTGTTTCTCAGTTTTTCTTCTGAAATGATGTCCATGTCAATTTCGAGTGCAATATTATGATACTCATATTGTTCTACGTTAAACCATTGATCTCTCAACACCCCAGGGATGCCGATCAAAGGTACACCAGCTGATGGCTTCGTCAGTTGATTGTCGACCTCCTTGTGTGATGAACAGTTTTACTTTTGGATGACCTGGAAGAAAACGCAGTTGAATTAACTGATGATATTGATACAGTTTTCTGGGTTTTAAAGTTAACTTATAAATATGAGTAAGGTTAATGTAAAATACGTGCGTAAGCCCTAACAATAGACAGAAGTAGGCTTCGAGTATCAGCAAATCGAATTTCTGAGACATTATCAGTCAGAAGTTTTTAATTTCATCTAGTTGCATCTGTTTAACTTAATGTTAACTTGACTTTTATCTTTCATAACAGTTTCGATACCGTTCCTCTGTTTTTCTTCTGAAATGATGTCCATGTCAATTTTAAAAAAGGTACACCAGCTGTTATATTAATAATTATAATATTAGTTTCTTAGTTTTTCTTCTGAAATGATGTCCATGTCAATTTTGATGCCAATATTATGATACTCATATTGTTCTACGTTAGACCATTGAGCTCCCAACATGGGGATGCCGATCAAAGGTACACCAGCTGTTATATTAATAATATTAATTCCTCAGTTATATTAATTCCTTCTTCTGAAATGATGTCCATGTCAATTTTCAACCGACTTCAAAAAAGGAGGCGGTTCTCAATTCGACCCGTATGTTTTTTTTTTCTATGTTTGTTACGCGATAACTCCGCCAATTATGAACCGATTTGAACAAATCTTTTTTCGGCGTATAGGTAATACCTCAAGGGTGGTCCCATTTAAATTTATTTATAGAAAAAACAACCCCCAAGGGTGGAAAATTGGGGATGAACTTTTTTTATACGCAATATCTCCGCCGATTATAAATCAATTTGAACGATTATTTTTTTGTTGAATAGGAATACCTTTACATGAAACCACCCTTTTGATAATAATTAAAAGGGTGGTTTCATGCGAATTTGAAGAAAATATTTCACCCCCAAGGATGGAAAATTGGGGATGAACTTTTTTATACGCAATATTTTTAATTTTTAGTTTTTTTTTGTGTTCACGCATTTGAAGTCGGTTTTATTTTTTTAAAAGTTAATTATGATGCCAATATTATGATACTCACATTGTTCTACGTTAAACCGTTGATCCCCCAACATGGGGATACCGATCAAAGGTTGAACACCAGCTGTTATCGCTTCGTCAGTTGATTGTAGACCTCCTTGTGTGATGAACAGTTTTACTTTTGGATGACCTGGAAGAAAACGCAGTTGAATTAACTGATGATATTAATACAGTTTTCTGGGTTTTATAGTTAACTTAAAAATATGAGTAAGGTTAATGTAAAATACGTGCGTAAACCCTAACAATGGACAGAAGTAGGCTTCGAGTATCAGCAAATCGAATTTCTGCGACATATCAGTCAAAAGTTTTTGGATTTCGTCCAATTGCTTCTGTTTAACTTACCTTTTGTCTTTCATAACAGTTTCGATAGCGTTCCTCAGTTTTTCTTCTGAAATGGTGTCCTTGTAAATTTTGATGCCAATATTATGATACTCATATTGTTCTACGTTAAACCATTGATCTCCCAACATGGGGATGCCGATCAAAGGTACACCAGCTGTTATATTAATAATATTAGTTTCTCAGTTTTTCTTCTGAAATGGTGTCCTTGTAAATTTTGATGCCAATATTATGATACTCATATTGTTCTACGTTAAACCATTGATCTCCCAACATGGGGATGCCGATCAAAGGTACACCAGCTGTTATATTAATAATATTAGTTTCTCAGTTTTTCTTCTGAAATGGTGTCCATGTCAATTTTGATGCCAATATTATGATACTCATATTGTTCTACGTTAAACCATTGATCCCCCAACATGGGGATGCCGATCAAAGGTATACCTTTATGGCTACGTCAGTTGATTGTAGACCTCCTTGTGTGATGAACAGTTTTACTTTTGGATGACCTGGAAGAAAACGCAGTTGAATTAACTGATGATATTAAATACAGTTTACTGGGTTTTTTAGTTAACTTAAAAAATATGAGTAAGGTTAATGTAAAATACGTGCGTAAGCCCTAACAATGGCCAGAATTAAGTAAGCTTCGAGTATCAGCAAATCGAATTTCTGCGACATATCAGTCAAAAGTTTTTGAATTTCGTCCAATTGCTTCTGTTTAACTTACCTTTTGTCTTTCATAACAGTTTCGATAGCGTTCCTCAGTTTTTCTTCTGAAATGATGTCCATGTCAATTTTGATGCTAATATTATGATACTCATATTGTTCTACGTTAAACCATTGATCTCCCAACATCCCAGGGATACCGATCAAAGGTATACCATCTGTTATGACTTCGTCAGCTGATTGTAGACCTCCTTGTGTGATGAACAGTTTTATTTTGGATGACCTGGAATAAAACGCAGTTGAATTAACTGATGATATTAATACAGTTTTCTGGGTTTTATAGTTAACTTATAAAATTATGAGTAAGGTTAAGGTGTGTAAACCAGAATTTTTCAATCAATCATTGACTGAATTTTTCTGGAGGTAACGAAGCTGGTTCTACGTTGGTTCCAAAGCTGATGTATATGACACCATTTTCAGATGCGTCTAAATAATTTTTGAGATCCTGAAAATATTATTTAAACAGTTTTGTATTGTTTAATTCTGATAATTAAATTTTGATGACCTCATTTTTATTTTTAGACTAAGTGAAACTTACTTACCTGAGGTAATTCCTTTTCTATTATGCGATTCCTTTCCCATGTCGGATGGATATTTAATAGCAATAAATCAACAATGTTTTTAGGTCTTCAATCGATGGGACACTCTCACCAAACACTCTTTTAAGCATTAATTTATTGGTTAGGTAAAAGGTCCGAGTGTGGAAACCATTTTAAAATTCTTATAGGTATTGGATGTTCTTTCCGGCAACTCATCTTGATTCCACTTCCATAATTATGATAGCACATCGTAAGGTAACTTAGAAACTGCATAAATCATTGATTGAATTTTGCTGGAGGTAACGAAGCTGGTTCTACGTTGGTTCCAAAGCTGATGTTTAAGACACCATTTTCAGATGCGTCTAAATATTTTTTGAGATCCTGAAAATATTGTTTATACAGTTTTGTATTGTTTAATTCTGATAATTTCATTTTGATAATCTCACCCTAATTTTTAGACTAAGTGAAACTCACTTACCTGAGGTAATTTCTTTTCTGGTTTCTGATGAATACATCCCATATAAATCACGTTTGGCGGAACCGGAAGATTTCTTTCCCATATCGGATGGATATTTAATAACAATAAATCAACAATGTTTTTAGGTCTTCAATCGATGGGACACTCTCACCAAACACTCTTTTAAGCATTAATTTATTTAAAAAAGTTATAAAACTCATTTATTTTTAACGGCCTTCAACAAAAGGAGGAGGTTCTTAATTCGGTTCGTATTTTTGCAAATAGGCTTTTAAGAAGCACTTTTACACGTCCCAGTATTAACCCTACCACTGCTTCGGGACAAAAAATGGGCTAGTGCTATTGGTATATCATATAATTTTGCTAGATTTCTTTCTATTATGTAAGCATTGTAAATATTTGATAAGTACCTTCTCCCAAAATGTCAGGTTATTAACTCTCTGAATCCCGTTGGATAGAGAAAAGAATGGATTACTGCACCAAAAGCTTTTAAAATATCATCATTCAATCGAAATGAACTGACCTGTATCACTGGTGCTTTAAATACGTGCGTAAGCCCTAACAATGGCCAGAAGTAGTCGAGTAGGTATCAGCAAATCGAATTTCAGCGACTTATCGGTCAGAAGTTTTTGAATTTCGTCCAGCATCTGTTTTTTGAAGAGCGACATCAACAATCTAAGGATTAACCTCGATTGGGCACGTAGNGCGCGTAATTCCTTTTTATTGCCTGTTGTAACATTTGATGAAGTAAATATTTACCAAGAATCAAAGGAAACGTCATGAGCATCAATTTCGAGCAAAATCTTTGGTGACCCGCCATCTTTGAAAATTGGGTCCGTTGTCAAAACAACTACTTCGTGAGCTCGGCTGACTAACTCTAATGTCAGCGTTAGAAACACCACTTGATGACTTATTGAAGGCGTAGGAAACACTGCAAGTATCCGAGCACCTTCATCACTAAGAATAGCACAAGCAATAACTATCACAGAGGAACCTTTGTTTGTCACCTACCATCCGCTTTGCAAGGGAGGGAAGTCGAACCTTATCTTCGAACTCCTCCTATGTTCTTCTGATTAATTTCGTTGTAGGTCCAATGACAGTTTAACTTACCCCCGGGACAAACTTCACATTCTGGATACACTGGAGATGCAGCGGTGGGTAATAGACGTGGGAATAGTCCCGTGTATCACTAAGGAAATTAGCCTAGCCATGGCTGTATTGTTGTCACCATAATGCCTAAGCTCGTTCTGATAGATAACTTGAAAATTAGAATATTATATTATGCGTCTAATTGTTTCAAAGATTTACTTTTTATTGAACTTGAGTCACATTAATTTGTGCTACAATGTATGTATCTATCGGCATAATAACCTTATCTTCTATTTAGAAAACATACAAATAGACTTGTCGCACTATGACAAGACAACCTTTGTCCCGGCGTTTCTTCTAGCAATTTTCTCATATGTTCGTCTCGAAACACCAAAAGATAAAGAGATAAAAAAGCTCCTTAATAATCTATTTTGACATTAAAGCCCCAAAATATTGGTTAAAACTGAATAAACATTTTTCATTTCAAATATTGCAATTTATTTTATCCCTTTGCGCTTTAGTCGCTGCAACCCTTCTTTAATTAAACTTTTGATGTTGGCAACCCTGCTCGAGTTACCATTTTACGTTTTATGGAATAAATTAACCGGCCCTGGGGTTTTTAATTCCATTATTTTAGTGTTTGTTAGCTTCTAACGAAAGTTATTTACTTCAATAAAATATGTCCTAGTAATTTTGAACACTAGACCGAATCTTTAAGGCTACAAAAGTTACTATACTCTTTGAGAAAAGATACCCATCTTTTCACACTTGTCACAGGGTCACAGTACCCTTTACTTACTAAAATTGATTTTGTGCCTGTGGCGCTTTTATTGTCTCGACTTGGCGGAGTCACTACCGTGCCTCCAGAATCGAGATTTTATCAGTATTTCACTAAACATATTAGTTAACCTGAGATACATAGATAGGTCAGATACCTACCAACATTTTTTTTTCAATTTCGATTCCGTCTTACAGTTTATGAATTTCAAACTGTAAGAACGTTTTTGCACACCCTATATCATCCGCGTAATAGATGAAAATATCTCTAAATGGACGTAATATCGTAAATCCTGAACGTTCCACGATATCTACCAAGTGTCAGAAATATAGTGGTCTCAGAACTATCGTAAAATATCCAATTTTATGCTCACTTCTTGAGAAAAGTGTAAAATGTGAGAACTGGGGCGAATGTCGGTCACGAAAATGTGTAAAACTTTATACATGGTGACGTGCGAATTGAAAATTTCATTTGTGGTAAAAATATCAAGTTCCCTAATTCATCCATAAAGTTCCAACACTGAAGTGATTCCCTAAGTAAGATAGAAGATAAGAAGGAAGATTTAGGATTCCGGATGAAGCTCGCTTCCACCTTGGACCTGATCATCACTTTCCATCAGGTGAGATGAATGCCCAGAGCTTCCTCGTTATGGACAAAGAAAACGTTACGTTTTCAGAACTTTAATTTTAAAAGTGTAACCAAAGCTTTTCAAAAAATACTATTATGTAAGGTAGGCACTCCATAAGGCTTAAACGGATAAGACAAGTAAAATATTTTTTCATTGTTTTTGGACCTGAAGGCAAGGTAAATAGATCAAAAATATGGTGGGAACTATATCCCCACTGTCTTAAGGATTAATAATTGCTATGGTGGGAACCATATGCCCACTGTGATGTCTTAAGGATTAATTGCTATGGTGGGACATATTCCCACTGTCTTAAGGGTTAATTGCTACAGTGGTTATACATATTTCCCACTGTCTTAAATGTTAATTTCTATGGTGGGAACTATATTCCCACTGTCTTATTGAGAGTTATTATGTCCAAACACAGCTAACAATTGGCTGTGAATGCAATTCTCGTTTTTCAACAAGAATGCGAATGTGGGTCGAATTTGCAAGTATATTGGATTGCGTGCGATGCGTCCCAGACATTGACTGACGTTCCAATCTGCACCCTATCATCCTTTATTAAAGTTAAATTAAACTTCGTAGATATTCTTTTTTTACTTGCAGTAAACGTGTAGAAAGACAAGCTGTGCCCCCGAATTCGTACGCGACGCGTGAAAATTGTCTAAATATTTTTTCCCGTTTTTGCATTATATTTAAAGATCACTAGCTTTCCGCCCGCGGCTTCGCACGCGTGGAATTTTGCCTGTCACAGAAAAACTTTATCGCGTGTCCCTGTTTCAAAAACCGGGATAAAAACTATCCTATGTACTTTCTCGGGACTCAAACTATCTCTATGCCAAATTTCATCAAAATAGGTTCAGTGGTTTAGGCGTGAAAGCAAGACAGACAGACAGAAAGAGTTACTTTCGCATTTATAATATTATTATAGTAGATTAAATGGACTGTCCAACTCTTTCCAAAATTAGCACGTTTAACCAAACAAACAAACTTTTTAACTTTAATGATAAACACAGGATGCATATGTATTTACAAATGTGCTAAAAAAATTAAACCTACCTAAATTATTTAGATATTTTGTGTGTTCGTAATCTCGAAACTCCGTCATTGTCTGTTACCATCGGAGACATAATATTATTATTTATTATTGCTCAGCTTATTATTAAAACCCTGAATAATAGATATTGTTTAATTCAGAATTAATACCTGAAGATTATCAGCCTCCCCAGTTGAGACAGGATTATGTTTCGCAGTACGGACGACAACACAATAAGCTTGAGGGCTTATTGTCACGGAGACATCCGGTTTTTTGCAGGATCCTGTAATGTCTGTTTAGTAGTATACGTGTTTTAATATAACCACAGAATAACAATAAGTACTTAATAACGTTCACACGAACATTTTTTTTATCCACATCGAGGAAGCTCTTGGCCTGTATCTCACCTGATGGTAAGTGACGATCAGGCCGAAGGTGGAAGCGAGCTTCACCCGGAATCCTCAACCACGGAGGAACTGGCTATCTTACCTCTAACTGCCTGTTGTTATGGCGTCAGACTTAGATAGGATGGTGGTTGCTAGTCAGGCGGACTTAGAAAAAGAAAGATAGAAAAAGATGTTTATTAGGGTGGTCCTTATTTTTTGATTTTTGAATTATCCCCGGGGCACTTTCTCATTCGATTATACATATACCTCTAAATATGAAATTAGCTTTTTTTATTTTTTATTTTTTTTTTGGTTAAGATTTAGAGGTCGCTACCAGTTGTCAAAATATTTACAAAAAGCTTTGAAGATCTTAAATCATGGTTTCATAAATGTTTTATTTAAGTGTTTATATCACATTTTAGGTGCAAATGAACATCGCATAGATAGAATAGACAATCGCTTCTTGTCCCCTTCTCCCCTCAACCCCTCTTCTGTACCGACCATGGTACCGACGCGTAGAGATAAGTACTAACAAGTCAACTCTTATATCTTAAAAATAATTGATTCAAATATGTACATTGTACTTAATATCTTAGTTCATAGCAACAACAATAATTTTGAAATATTTTTATTTGGCTTTGGCTAAAAATAAATAAGTGTAACAAATACAGATTTTGTGTTTTACTTAAAATTCAAACCTTGGTAGCGACCCCTAAATGTCTTTTAAAAAGACTTTCATATGGTATATATTCACATTACGTGGTGCCCCGCAAAATATAAGAAAAAAAAATTTTTCGTAGGAATAAGGACCACCCTAATGTTTATTCAGTATCACACATACATACATACGCCCGTATTCACAAACATTACTATCAGGAACCAATCGCAGAGCTCTATTTAACGCTGTGCGTTCGATTTGCTGTTTCACTTAAGTAAGCATCGTCTTTGTAAATACGGGCGATAATTTACAATAACAATAGGTAACTGATTATGGTGGTATTACAATGACAGGCCTTAATTTAATCTAATTAAGCGAGATTATCAAGCAAGCGCACTAATCCTTGTAACCTAAATCGATTTGGGCGCTAATTCAAAGTCAAAGGTCAAACATGGCAGTATTCGCGAAGGTACCTATTTAAAAAATTTATGCTCAATGTCATTATAGTTCCAAAATACTGAACTGTCCTATCGATGACATTGACAGCGGGGCGCCACCGTCTTTACCGAATCGCTGGTTCCGATTTTTGCCATGTTGGAAACCATAAAGTTGAACGATGGTAGCGCCCCCCTGTCATTGAGTTTGGCGGGACAGTTCAGCCTGGGTCATCTATAACAATATTTTATGGTGTAATTTAGCTCACCATTTTGTTGACAAACGTCAGTGATCGGTACTGCGCCGAAGCCATAAGCATAGGGCTGACTTCGGTAAAATGATGTGTGACGTGAGGTGCCAAACTTGGTAGGTACCTACTAACTTTTGTCCGTGGCTTGTCTTTTTGTCACCGTGACAGCATATTTGTCTCTTTTGCACGTATAAAGAGAGAAAAAGACATACTGTCACGGTGAACCGTAAAGTTTCATTAAAATGAGTTCAGTATTTTTTGCGTGAAATAGTAACAACACTGGATAGGTGTTGTTACTATTTCACGCAAAAAATACGTTAAGTTAGGTTAAGCCCAAAAATTTTCATATTTATAAATCTTTTTATATATAAAGCTTTTCTTAGAAAAGTGTCTAGTAACTATTTTTTTATTTAAATGTGTAAATATTTTAATGTGCCCCACAAGGGCTACCTTTTCTTTTTTTCATTATTTACATTTTGACGTTCATAAGTGCCACTTGTGGTCTAAACTGAATAAATATTTTTGATTTTGATTTTATGAAGTACTTACCGAAGACGAAGATATTTATCTTGTCCTTAATTTTATTTTCTTTCTTTACAGGTCGCCCTTTTCACTTCAAGCAACATTCAGATGGTTTAAAGAATAAGGCAAGTCATTAAAATTTATATTAGGTACTTACTGATCATTTAAGAACCTACATTTATTAAACATTGCAAATTAGCGCTTATTCTCCACAAAATAAGAGCGATCTCAAAGACAAGTCACAGCTGTTGTGTGTACAAGTTATCCTTCAAGTTTCAATTCGCAACTAATATGAAGTTGCGCCATCAACCTAGAACAACATCTTGAGCTGGACTCATTATTAGTTCATAAATCGTGTCATGGACAACTTAGGTCAGCTTGTACAATCAATATTTCATGTCGTGGGTCGAATCACGAAAAGGCTGATCAAAATTACAGGAGCGACGCTTAAAGATAACTTGAAGTATGGAAAAATTGGGCCCTTTTTACCTGTCAAAGCGGGCTTCCTGAAAAATAATTCAGACGATCTTATGTGAGGTTATAAAATGCATGTTTTTAATAACATGGTGTGTTCAACTCAATATCGCCATTTTGTTAGATACCTACGCTTTTTCGTGATTCGACACACGACATGAAAGATATGAAGAAATTTCCCCGTTAAGGCACTTAAAATTTTTAAGTTTGTACCTACCAAGTATGTTTGGTATACATAATATACAAAATACTTACAGTGGAAAACATGGAATCTCCCCCTTTTTTGAAGTCAGTGAAAAAGCGATAAGTTCGCGCCTAAAAATAACGAAATCTTTTATGCGATACAAATATGCCGCCTCCATGGTCCAGTGGTTAAAACAAAATGTTACTAGAAAGATGCAAAAGAACCTGATACTATGTATTACGTTCGTTAAATTACTGAAAATAAATCAGATCAAATGAAGTCATCAGTTTGAATAATAAAGCCTGTTGCTGCTATAAATGAAATAGTCAAAATTGTTTTATTTTCCTTATAGACCACTATCCACTAGTGGCACTTATGAACGTCAAAATACAGTAAATAAAAAAAGGTTATTATTAAGCTTATGGGGCACTTTACATGTCTCCTTATCTTTTGGGCCCTACCAATTAAAAAAATATCTAAGAAACACAGAACTTTAAACTTTCCTTACGCAAGTTGGGCTTAATATTCACAATACCAAACAGAAAATGGCCTCTCACAGCTAAATTACGTCACCATTTGTCAGGTGAAGTGTTTCGACAAATCTCACCGGCTGCCTCATTACTTCTAGTGTTGCCGTGATTTTTCTGTTTTTCGGATGTGTTAGATATTTTTTATTTCGGGTTTTTGTTTGAGAAAGAAACAAAAATAGTTGTAGTTGTGTTCATACAGGGTGGAATTTTGTAGTGCCACCTGGAGGGAATGTAGGTACTCATAATACTGTAGATAGAAAATTTTACTAAAAGAAAACATTCCTTTATTTTTGAAAAGAAAGAGAACTGCATTCAAAGATTTTCTAAATTTTTTCGAAAATTGACCACCATACCATAAAATATTCTGTAAATAATTTAAGATTTCATGGTTTTCCTTTCATTTGATTTATCAAGTTTGTTAGAGAGATTTAATCCTTATACTTAACCCTAACGATCGATGCAATAAAAATACAGGGTGTAATTTTTAACAAATAGTTCGATTCCCAGGTTGGCAAGCAAATTTTTAGAAATCTTTGATGCAGTTCTATTTCTTTTTCTAAATTAAGGAATGTTTCCTTGAAGTCGCGGGCGGCCGCTAGTATCTTATGTAATAACTAGCGGCCGCCCGCGACTTCGTTCGTACGCGTGGATCCCGTTTTACCCCCTTCATCTATCTTAGGCGGTTTAGATTTTTTCATACAAATGTTTTTTCCCGCTAACTCCCCTTCCCGTGGGATTTTGCAATATCCTGTTGTAACTAAGCTTTAAGTTTACTAAGGTACCTGCATGCCAAATTTCAAGCGTCTAACTTAAGCGGCTTAGATTTTTCATACAAAATGATTTTCCCGGTAATTCCCGTTCCCGTGGGATTTTCCGGAATTCCTTTCTCATTCCACCTCTACGGTACCTAAGCTACGTCCCTTCCAAATTTCAAGTGCCTACGTTTAGCCGTTTAGGCTGTGCGTTGATATAAATAACTTAATAACGCCATTTGAAGTGTGTTGGCTGTTCTCTTTTAACTGGGACCAATTTTAGACACAGATTCACGTGAATATTTACACGATGGCTTAACTAACTTACTATAAACTAATGTTATTATATTAAATCGAGTGGGTTACGATATTACGCAAAGGCGGAACTGGGGAAGGAAATTCTTCCCAAGGGAAGATTTCTCTGAATTGGGCTTAATTAATTTTCGAAATGCTCAATAAATATTCAATTTGAGGTTCGTAGTTCGCAAAATGAGGTTCGTCAAACAAATATTTGATATTGAAGCCTTGTTTCTCCGCATGCTGAAGGTTAAGACTTATCTGCCTTATAAGGCGGAGCGGGCCTCATAAGAAGGCTCAAGGTCACCCAAAGGGCGAAGGAGCGGGCTATGCTCGGGGTTTCCCTGCGTGATCGAATCAGAAATGAGGAGATCCGCAGGAGAACCAAAGTAACCGACATAGCTCGCAGAATTGCTAAACTCAAGTGGCAGTGGGCGGGGCACATAGCTCGTAGAGACGATGGCCGTTGGGGCAAGAAAGTTCTCGAGTGCGACCACGGGCTGGAAAACGTAGCGTGGGCAGGCCTCCTACTAGGTGGACCGACGATCTGGTAAAGGTCGCGGGAAGAGCCTGGATGCGGGCAGCGCAGGACCGTTCATCGTGGAAAACCTTGGGGGAGGCCTTTGTCCAGCAGTGGACGTCATTTGGCTGGAACGAACGAACGAACGAAGGCGGAGCGGAGCGGATAAATGTTTTGAAAAACCAATCAGATGTCATTCAGATTGAAAGAAATTGAAAAACCGGGACTAAATTTACTACATAAGGATGGTTTCAAACTAGTAACGGGGGGATATATGCCCGTATTCACAAACATTACTATGAGGTCTCACAGTGCGCGTGGACGCACAGGGTCACACACGAACCAATCACAGAGCTCTTGCAACGTTGTGCGTTCGATTTGCTGCTTTACTTAAGTAAGCATTGTTTGTGAATACGGGTGATAGTTTTAAAACTGTATACTTGACTACTTGTCTGTATTATACAGTGTGTCCGGGCATGTAGTGATCAAACTTTAAGGGCGAAATCTAGGGACAATCTTATCGATGGGGCTTGACCCATTTATCACAAAATTACAAGGATTTATGTTTTTAATTTTTAGTTTTCACTTCTTCCTTCAAAAACAAGTGAAAGCGTGGGTAGCTTAACATTAATAAGCAAATATTTTAGCCCTTAAAGTTTGATCACTACATGCCCGGACACACTGTATAACGCCTTTGCTTCCTTTCTTTCCTTCAAAAAGGAAAAATGCGAACCAAAAACAACTGTTCTAAATTTGTATTCCGTTGCCATAAAAAAGATTGAGAACCTAAGCGGTGACATTCCAATCTTGTTCGAATTATACACTTAGCGCGGGAAATTGCAGGCGGCATTCGTTTTGGCGCCAAAATGAGCCATCATGGCGGCGGCGCGAAAGAAACGGATTAACCTAAATGACTGCTGCAGGGCTTTGTGCGACAGAGCGTTTAAATGGAAAGTTTAGTGTTTCACAGTTTAGTTGCAAGGAAGTCATTATATGAGTTTAAATTCCTTTTTTGTTTTCGATTCTTTCCTTTCTTGGAAAGGCAAAGGCATTATGCCATACTGCCAAGTATTCAGATTTTCTTTTCTCAGTTATTGACCCATAACCTGTTTTTATATGATTAACGAATGACGAGCAAAAAAAAGTATTTTTTTTAAGAAACTAAGTACCCTATGTCTAATTAAAATCAGCGAAACATTGTAAAATCTTACTGCTGTTTAGTAAGTAGATGAACAATTTTATTTTTCCAAAGCTTACAAAGGGACGCAAGCAAAGGTAAGTAAGTACTTACTTATCTAATTTTGTTGAAGCAACATTCATTATTTTTCTTTGGTTAATCCTCTTAACACGAGTTTATTATGAAAATTTAATTACGGGGTGGAAATAAGATTTATCTTCTAAATAAGGTTCTGGTATTCACTTTGATAAAATTAAATGTCAGAGTATCCGAGTAAAAACTGGGCTAAAATTAGAACATACCTCTTGGGATATTTTGAAAATGTTTCCAAATTTTCACTGCTAGCTTTCATTGCAAATCGCAATTTGAAACTTTTAACAAACAGAGAAAAATTTGATAACTATTTAGGCTTCACATTAACTTTAACAAAACCTATAACTTTAGCCGGTGTTTTTATGGAGTTTATTTACCTGTTTGTACAGATACTTTTGTCATTTCTTACAGTTAAATTAAGATGATGCAACCAAACCTTACTATTCCATTGAAAATAATATCAATATTGTTAAAACAACTTTTATGACCTAAAAAACTAGCTTTTGATTTAACCATTTGGGAACTGTTTTGAAATATCTGTACATTTTAAAAAATATTACTTAATTGAGTTTTCATGCCTACACGCCACTAAACCAATTTTATGAATTTTGGTATAGAAATAGATGGAATTCAGGAAAAGCTTTTGAAGAAAAAATAAATTTTAACACAGGTAAAATACACATAAATGTTTGACATAACTTGACAGTGGGTATTATCAGATAGAAAAAACCCAAATCAATACGCACATATTTAATTGTGTTCGAATTAAGACACGAATGGTTGCTTTTACGGGGATCGAACCCGTGGTTTATTGAATCCAAAATGCAAACCAGCCGGGATAGAATGCGCGCCGTGATAAAATCTTATCGATGATTTTAGTCGACAAAATGTATGGGTTTATCGCGTAAAATCCCTCGATAAAAGTTTATCAGGGAACGCGCCACGCAACCTAGGCCCAATATAGGTCAGGCGAATGAATTTGTGTGACATTTGACCCAAAACTCAGTAAATAACGTTACTTCAAAACGTTATTTTTCTCATTACAGACCACAATTAATTTATTGCACAGCATAAATCTCAATTAAACTGCTTTTGTGT